TTAGATGATCATGTGTTGTGCAAAAGTTGTAATGCTAAAAGAGTCCAAGCTTTAACATCAACTATGATCACTGAACTTTAAATAAYGTTATACTCTATTCCAAATAAAAGCTCACCATGAGACAGACAAAAACCAATTAAAATTCCATTTTAGACAATTTCTGGGATATGCATGACAGTAGGCGATCACAGAGAATTTAGACATTGGTTTGGAGGATTTGAACTTTGTTTCAAGACTCATTTGTATGCACCACAATGGTATGCTCTTATTTGGAATAAAGAATATGTCGAGACTTCACAAGTTAGTATTTTTCTTTTAATAATATTAATAAATAGTTATTAAATAAAATATTAATCACTTATAAAATTTAATAAAACAAATACGTTATTAATTCAGGGCATTTGCATATCAATCTTGCTAAGTTGTATTTAATGCTAGATATAGAAATATATCTCAAGTTAACTTTGTTAAGTATGTTAAGTTGTATTTTGCATATTTATAAATAAATTTATGGTCATTTTTACAACATCAAATGATTAAAAATAGGAATGGATAATAATTTTAGCTGTTTCAAAAATTGCTTATGAATATTATTGAATATTTTACCAGTTTGTAATGCATAAGTGCAGTCATTTTTTATAGCATGAACTTACAAGCTCTGGTTATATAAGATATAAATTCATACTATAGAACAATAAATTACTAGTATTAATTGTTTATTGTATATTTTTTTTTACAGATTCCTAACTTGGATTAAGCAATCAAATACATGAAATTGACTACCAAAGTTAATAATTGTGTACTTTATTTGCGAGTCAAATTATAGTTATTAAAACATCAAAACCATTTTATTTATCCATAATATTAKTATAATCATTTTTTGTGATGTAATTTGTGCATTTATAGTAGCTTTTGAAAAACTTTTGATAAATTAGTTCATGGTATTTACACTTGCAGTTAAGATGTTAGTGTTATTAAAATATTTTAGAACTCTTATTACTACAATTATTGTATAATTCCTTCTTTTTCTAACTTTTATATTTTTTTTAAATATTTTTTTTTACTCTATCAATATTAGCCATTATATATTGTAATAATTGTCATTCCATAATACTGTTATAGTAAAACTTTTATGTTTTAAGATTGTTCCAGTTGTTGACCACATTCTTTGCTAGTCTATTACTGATAGTAATTTTGTAATCTAATTCTCAGATTTTTAAATTATATTATACTTATTACTCATAGTTATATTAATTTTAAAATGAAAACTTTTTTTAAGTTTAAATAATCATACCAATAATATAATAAATTTTATATTAGTGTATTAATAAATATATTTAACATACTTGTTAATTTAGTCAATTGTATATGTCTTATTGCATTATCCATTTATATTAGATTATTAATTAATGCATTTGAAGTGATATATCTAATTGCTATTATTGATAATATTATTYTCTCATTAATTATATCTATTAAATTCTAATGTATACTAAAATATATGTAGCCTAGAAAGTAATATAATAGCTATTGAAATAAACATTAATTAACCTGCAGAGGATTATGTGTTTTGTATTTTTCACAAATATTAGGCATTTAAAAAAAATTGTTT